AGGGGTATGAATCCAATTGATCATCTTCACAAAATCACATACACTAGTTCATGGAGATATTGATTACTCATTCTTCCACCGAAGGAAATCCCATTTATCCTAAAGCAACTGTGAAGCTAAGAAATCTTACGGAAGGGCATCATGAGCAACATAGTCAATATGATGCTTGTCAAGGAACTCTTGACTTATAACCCATGGGGCATCAGGAATGACTTCGTCCACCCACCTAGCAAACGTAAAAGGTTACTCAAATAGTTTACTACCAAAAATAATAAAAGAAAAGTAATGGCAACAGAACTAAAAGGATTATGAAGAAATGGAGAGCCTTCCCAAGTAATAACATTAACCAATATATGCACAATGAGAATCAAGCAGCCTTACTTGTGTACTAGCTTTGAGTATTATAACAAATTTCCCACCCAGAGATCCGAGTTCGGTACCTGGGTGGTTCCCCAAAAAGAAAAACAAGCAGCATCGGCACATTTGAAACTGGAAAAAAGCACATATGTAATTACTCCAATTCGTCACAATTGATGCTGCTTAAATGAGGCTGAATCACATGAAAGACCAACATGCATCATTGGCTGTTCGAATGTTCCAGTATCAAAGAGACAATTTACACCATGTAGAGGTCAAAAGGAGAAAAGGCAAATCCAGATAATAAATGTTCCTTGGAAGAGTAATGACTTTGCAAAGATGCCAACTTATCCCATTCAGAAAATAAACATTCTTTATAAAATTTCATGAAGCTTATGTCAGAACTAGATATGATGTCAAAATTAACTATACTCGATCAATCAACTATGCTTTGAATCCAAATTAATTTGATCAGCTGTATGAATACTGTATAACCATACTCGCAGTCGAAATAATTGAAACAAAAGAAGAACATACTTGCAATGGCGGAGGGACTCATAACGCTCTTCCTCTGTCATAACAGTTCTACCCTTGTATTTGTGCGTCATCTCATCCGAGCAACATCCAACAAGCAAGTATGTGTTGGGAAACCTGTGACCATCCCAAATAACTGTTAAGAGAAGAAAATTGTGCCATTATACCCAACTTATTCGGCAGTTCGCCAATGGAACACAGTCTACATACATATACGTGAAATCAACCACAAATTGAGAAAGCAGCAGCAGAATGAAGAAGGAGCATACAGATGCTAACTGAACAAAAAAAGATCAAAGCATTATAACCAACAGCTAATGTAAGTGACTCCTCCCAAATTACACCATTTGTGCTAACTATGACTGGTCACAAAATCTGTCTACACACATATAGCAAAAAATATAAATCAATCAATAACTACACCTCAATTCCAAACAATTTGGGATCGGCTATATTAGTCCTCTACACCTATTCCACCTCATCAGGCCCATATCATTGAGGAGTCATTATAATTTTGAACGTTTTTACATTGGGCATCCTCTATATCATTGAAGCTGTTCTCTTGTAGAAATGCAAAGTAAGGTTGCACATGTAAGACCCAATGCCTCCAGCCATTCACTCTATCGTTGTCCATATCATTCCAATAATTTCCATGTTTAAAAGATTCATTATGTTATATTGGGCAACAACGTAACCTACATAACTGTCAATTTTATTCCTTTAAAAAATCAAAGTTGACGTAGGTAGAAATGCATAGATAACGTGAAAATACGACTGAAGCAGAAATAGGAGAGCACATACGATTTTTTGGCTTGTTCGAGGGAGCGGGCGTGGCCGAAATGGAAGAGATCGTAGATCCCATCGGCGTAGACACGGACGGGGCGGTCTGACGGTGGGAGATCATTGACGCAATGGTGTTGGTTGTTGTGCTCCGCCGTCGCAACGCCGGTCTCTCCCATTTTCGTAGTATCTCAAATCGAATTTCGCTCCCGTCCGGTATGCCTTCTGTTATAGTTCCCACCTTTTATATGTCCACTTGCATGTAAATTATGCCAAGGTGCGATCTACGGAGCCAAAGCGACTACCCAAGTTCGTACCTAGTACCTAATCTCCAATAATTATTTTCACAAAAAAAAAAAATACTTTTGCTTTCATATGGTGTTTACATGGAATTAATCAATTTAATCTTAAAAATCATAAATTAATATAAGAATATATATTATTTAATTATTAATGATATAAGAGTTTAAATAATTTTGTGTAGACACCATGTATTCTATCTTCGATTCC